AGTTTAGTTCGACTTCCTGCAGTGCATTATACCTGAAATAGTTCACGCTTCTGTTACAGCAGCGCAAGGCATATGTCGGCAAATCGGCTACGACCGCTTTTTTCAGGTAACGCGCGTCGAATATGGTGCGAGTCCGTGGTCGACTATTGCAATGCACTGAACCTCACGCCTAAATTCTTTTGTGAGCCACTTGCGCCCTACTGAATAATCGTTATTGTATCTTCGCTGACTCTAGAGGTCGTGCAAGCGCTGCACGAAAGAAGGCAGCCTAGAGTTGGAGTCAGGGGTTGGGTGGTGGTTACGTCAGGTATGCACCCACGGCTCTGACTGAGTGACAGCTTCAATCTTATGCTACCATTATAATCGAAAAAATGAATGAGTTTACTACACCTTGAAAAAAAGCTAAAGTGTTAAAGAGTCACCTTTTGTGGGACACCGAAGCCCATGATGACAATGCAGCAATCGCTATATTTTCAACAGCGGATTCCTCACGGCTCTGCAAAAGTCAAAGTATGGATGAGCATCTCCAATTTCCTCTTGTGATGTGAGAAGAAACAAAAACGAAGGACAAGAAGAAGCTCGAAGTTTGATCCAGTAAATGCAATCACGTCATGGCTAGAACCTACATGACTGGGAGATTTCATAAAATAGCTAACCAATGAAGAGCATTGATAAAAAAGAACTTGTAATTACTGGTCCAGTAACCTCACCCTATGAATGAGAAAACAAAAAAGATACCAACCAACGATAGCAGCGTGGTCACGTCACGGAGATCTTTCTCAAAATGGAAAGCAGGATCTATAGCTCGAAGACCAGCCAAATCGACACTCGTGAATACACTGCTTCGCAAAACGTCACGGGTCAATTTCTAAACCAGAACATTCGAATGATTTGTGTGTACTAATGCAGAAAGTATCTTATGAAAAAACGCTCTTCAGATTGCGACAGTCTCTTTGGCCGAGATGGGGCGAGGAAACATAATCTCGGATTTTTTCGCTTTTCGTGTCTATATGGCTTAACTGGGCATAATTTTCACATATCTGAGCAACACTGAGCACCGTACTTATTCGTCAGGCTTCAAGCGTTCATACCTCGCGATTAGATGGCTTGGACACCGCGATCTGTCTTTCGAGCGATCAGATCGCGAACTACGAAAGCGTTCTAACAGATTATACCCGACTCGCATGAAGTGGATCAGGTCTCACTCGTAGCCCCTACTGTTAAGGATGAAATTGGTACCATTCAAGAATACGTTCAAACTTCGCGTCGCTTAGACAGCACCATCTGATCCTTCGAGCGGACTGACTACTACTGGAATTATGAACGCGCTCTAAGCTGGTTATGAACGCGCTTTACGATGGTTATTCCAGACTTGGAGTGGATCTTGCCTACTAATCTGCTGCACGCCCTCGTTACAATAGGGATGAAATTGCTATTAATACTCACGTGAATTAAAGCATTCTCGATATCCAACACAACAGGAATTCGCTCATCGAGGAGTCCCGCAAGGTAGTAAGAAGCAGATTCCAGGACGTAAACCTGTAGAAGAGGTGTGCTGTAGATTATTCATGAACGCATCCTATTTACAAGCATAACTTTCTCACAACTTTTACACTTTACCTTGAGGGCAAATTTGGTGGTGCTATACTGCAAACCAGGCTCATCAGACAATAAAGCATTCTCCTAAAAGTTGTGTATTCATGGCAACAGGATTGTACAAGTAGTTATGAGTACACCTTTCTTGCACTTGGGGTTTTGTTGCAATGCGCAGCCAACTCGTTTATAAGGCGTTTTCCATAACCAACCGCTGCAGCAGCAAGAGGTAAACAATTGCTGGAAGCTAACTCGTCCCTTATCTGAAAAGACTGCGATGAGAATCCTTCATAAAGTATAGAAGACTGAGGTTCTGGTTTTGATCAAACCTTTTTGAGAATGCATTTCTATGATTTTTTTTCATTTTCCATACAAAACTAATTCTTGAATGCGGCTCGCCGTATGGTTTGCAGAGGTCAATCCATACAACTTGTGTGTTTATATCCCACGAGACAAGTGTAATACACCCCACTTAAAGGCACGCCCTGCGTTCATGTTCGTACTCTGTCGAACACGGTAGCCCGCAAGTCACAGCTGCGCGAAGAAAGAGCGGCCCGACTCCGGAGAGGCCAAGCCCCCGCCTTTTTTTTGCCTTACGCGGATACAAGCGGGGTTCGCCATGGTTTCTTTACAGGACATGTCGGGCTATAGGACATTTCGGGCAGGTTTCTTGGTTTTTTTTTGTTCACTATTGCGATATTCGCCATCTTCTCACTAAATTCGAGCACAAATTCACCATTTTTGAAAACAGAGGCAAGACATGAACAGTTGGATCACTAAAAGCGATCAACTACAGAACTAAGACCTTTACCATAAGAAACAAGCGGGATTGATGACACATGCAAGCCCGCAGTTCTGCAATGACGAGAACAGGCTTGTCAGTTACCACTACAAAAGTTGTGTTCTGCGACTGAAGGCTGTGAGCAGTTCGATCCAAATATGATTTTGTAAGTGCTAGTATTACCTAATAAAGAATAAGACAAAAGAACCCAAAGAATTGTCCCAGACGTGGCTAGCTGACTTTCAGCATTAGAAAGACTAGGCAGCGAGCAGAGGTGATAGGCTGCTCAGCGGCGTGGGCGAGAGAGCACACAATGATTGTGAATTTCCAAACATTATGAGAGGAGCCACACCGAAAAAGACGCGGTCGCAGCTGAAGTCCCTGTGGTTCAAGTCCTCATCCAAGTGACCAAATGGCACACCGGCGCAGTTTGTCGACGAGGGGGGCATTTTGCTTTCCATAGATGTGTCGACCCATCTAGGCAGCCGTTTCTCGAGTTGACACGTTTTAGGATAGTGGCTAGACGATCTTACTTCAGCTTCACAAGAGTTCACAAGTTTTACCAGAGTGAAGATTTGTAAACCGGAACGTAGCGGAAGCAATCGATAATACAAAAGCCCCCCCCCGTCAACAAACAGACGCCTGGCACACCACACGGCAGCTGCTGGAACAGTCGACAGATACGCAGTAGAGATCTCTAATCTACCGAGATTCTACCTAACGGAAAATGAAAAAGAGTCGGGATGGAAGTTCTATGACAAAACTGTGAGGCGATGATCACCGTTTAGTTACTCGACCGCACAATCAGCGTGCACCTCCAGTAAGGCGGATGACGGACCTACTACCTAGCTACCTGTAGCCCACTGCTACTCATCACGATCGCTTTCAGCTGTGCGAGTGTCACTGCTTTCCACACCAAAAGCTCCACCAAATCCCTAATCATCTGCACTTTGATTACTTCTTTTCTAATGTGGTGCAATCAGTGGCGATTGGGGTCAGAAGGCACGGAATGAGCCAATCCACCGCGCTTTCTACCACTGATGAGTTTCTTCTCAAATCGATCACTAGCCGATTACTATTGAAGTCAGGAAAGGACCGAGGACGGACAACTTCCGCTGCCTGACACAGCCCTGACTGACTGCCATGATACCAACTATAAATACGCATTTTTTCTGTTAGCCCTATTAATCGACAATAAAACAAACATGATTCTTAACGAATATTACCTATCCCAATAGCGCCGAGTAGAGCTACACGCGAAGGACCACAAGAAAATGCAGCCTCGTTCGCTGCGGATAGTGGGGCGTGTCGAGCAGCTATGCTTGACACGGCTCCAACCCCTTTCTACAATTCTCCAAATTGAATGATGTGAACGATATGATGTAGTCTTGTTGCCTGTCGAAAGAAAAAAAAAACGGGTTGGGGCCGCATCAAACGCAGCAGCGCTGACATGCCCCTTCATCCGCAGCGAACGAGACTACAGGAATGGCCGAGGATATCAAGCAAGAAAACTACTACTAACTACTTTAGCAAGAAAACTACTAGCTTGAAATACGTTTAAAAAGCGTCAACTATTGAAAATCTGGTGATACCTCGGCTCCTTGTCCAAGTTCTCCTATCAGATGATCTTCAGTCAAAGAAGCAGAGATCGTCAATGAGCCAACTGCAAAGAGTGTAAGAAATGAACTTGTTAAGACAGCGTTCCAGACTTCGCGACGGCAGCGCTTCGGTCGCGCGTTCGACGCGATCAATGCAGTCGAAAGCATGCGCATCGATCGCGTCAAACGCGCGACCGAAGCGCTGCCGTCGCGAAGTCTGAACGCTGCCTAAGCGCGTCTAGCTATCAAATAGGACTCCATAAGAAAACATAACACATTTCGGCACTTACTATCAGAAGCCTTCAGTCCTGTTGTATCGCCTCGCTTGAACTCCCATTTATCGCTGTCTTTGAACTCAGAACGATCAATCAAATAACAAGAATAATATTTTTGTTTCTGAAAAGCAAAAATAAGAGCAGAATAGCTAAAATAAAGACTCAATTCAAGATAGAACTCGTGACTTTGTAACGGTTTGGTCCAGAGTCACAGCGACGTTAAAACTGCCGCGGCTATTTCATGCGCTCATTTATCATTTAATCTTGACTAGGTAACGCGTTGCTAGACTGAAGACCGAACTCTAGCGATCCTAGTGGACCCGCTCGCTCTGTTCATGCTAAGTGAGAAGTACTCAATTTGATACTCAATGGGCAAGATTGACTGGGCAAATAACGAAGTTCAGCACTAAGACCCCGTTCAGACTTCGCAATCGGGTCGCTTGAGCGACTGATTAGCGCGGCCGCGACTGGGGACGCTCCACCACCGAACGGTGGCCTAATTTAGATAGTACGTTTGCACGCAGTCCAATTTCAATTCTGCCGTTGCGGCGGAGCACGCGTCCGCGCGATCCCGATGGCGAAAGCCCTAACGCGCGTCTAAAGTGCACAGTGAGAAGAAATAGACGTTGGAAGTAAGATATTAAAGAATGTGAAAGAAAATAAAGGTAACAGTATGCTGTAGTTATGAATAAAGTTCTTGTTCGCTGGCACCAACTTCGTTTCCAGCAGTTGTTAGAGGAGCCAACGCGTGTAACGTTCGGAACTCAGTCGCTTTCCGCCATAGTTGCGCTAACGCTTTAAACGAACTAAGGTAAATAGGAGTCCTGGCGCCGCGCCGCCACTCCCTCAATGCCGCAGGGCGAACCAAACCATACTCCCACGACTAACTAAGAGGCAATGTAATACAAAGACTGGTCATATTAACCACTTACAGATTCATGATGTATCGAAGTAGCGAACACAACTGCCAAATTAGCATTGTGCATTCCGATACAAGGGACATCTTCGAGTCTAATCAATGACTGAGTGCGGCAATTCTCTCCAACATTTTCAGGCATTTGATAGGCTTAAAATCCAGAATGATGAATTAGCCAGAAGTGAAAAAGAAGTGAGAGTTTCCAAATGAACATGGGATTAAACGCTACAGAGTATGGACGCGTTATACTATAAAGTCACGTATATGTGGTCAAACTCTCCTCGAAAAATGATGCGAGTGCAAGAAGAATTTAAACAGCGGCACTTAAACTCACACTGTCGTTCCAGGCATTTTTTCATAAAGCACATAAATCCAGACGTTAAGGAACGAGTAATAGGAATTGAATGCGCCTAGCAGGCGCAGATTGCTGGCGTCCGCATGGGCGGGACGCGCGTGGCGCCCTTTCTGAGAAAGGTACTCCGTATAAACGGCCCTAATTCAGCTGTAAATGGCGAACCTCCTGACGTCTACCGCGTTCCGGCCTTCCACAAACCGTCCGCACCGTTGCCTGATGCTCGAACTCGCATCATTTGCGAAGTTACAGGATGAGCGAAAAAAATGATATGAATCGGACTGCGGTGCGCATAGATATAATAAGTACGCACATTGTTGCGTCTCTAACCGTAGGGTTTTACCTGGCATTAATGAAAACGCGAACGGAATTGTCGTGCCGAGAACCGCCTTCTGAGTCGTGGTAGAGCAAAGCATTTTTTTGCAAGGTTTCCGTTCAATTTCCCTTTTCGCTCCCCCCCCCCCCCACTATTCGCACTTTACTACCACCCTGGACTGAGTACCGAATTTTTGCACCTTTTGGCATCTTCGAATAAAGAAAGAACTCTACAAATCACGTAGACGCACAATCTACCTTCAAGCGGGATAGCTACACAATTCTGAGAAATAGTACAAATCGCCTTACACGTTAAGGCCGTGTTCATACTTCACAACATGAAGCGGATTCTCGCGCATTCGGTACAGCTCGACTGCTATCGACGTTCAGTGCCATACCGTCTACGTATGAACGTAGCAAGGGTCAGAAGGATTTCGGTCCTTTACCGATCACAGATGCGGTTCAGTGATTGGCGGCAGATAGTGGGTTAGTAGCGGTCCCGCGATTTTGGAATCTGATTGCGGCATAACTTCGCATTTGTTTCCTAAACTTATGGAAATAGCAGCTGTTCCATGGAATCGCAACGAGTGCACGAAGCGTTCCGGTTGAGAAGTGTTTTGAACCCGGAAACCACATTCGGCTTACACACTACAACATCGAAACTAGTTTGGTGCCAGGATAGTACACGATATGTCCTGAGTAAGGTCGAACGTTTCAGCGAATAAAAAAGAAGCTTACCTTGAACCATTAACAAAAGCTATAACAGGACGGCATTTCCCACTGGTAATAAGCGGAAAATATTTCTCCTTCAATTCTTCTGATCCGAACAACAATAACGTATTTGCTAGAGCATTCACCGCTACTACGTTTGCATAGATATTCCAGTCAATGCTAAGATCCTAAAAGCGGATAAAGTGAGAGGTGCATTTATGACGTATCTCTCTGATTCTAACCTCAAAGATTTTCACACGATCCTTGAATCCCATTCCAAGACCGCCGTATTCCGCGGGCGATAATGCCGCAAAGACTGCGCTATCGTTCAGTGCTCCTTTGACTGCGTCTGTTAAGCTGCCTTGTCTCTCCAACTCAGTGTGATCGACTAAAAGGAGTTAATCTCTCGCAAAGGTGAACAGACCGATACGACGGATTTCGGCGGAGGGGGCAGAGGGCATTCCACACTTCCGCTGCTTCACTAGTTCTGGTTTGCAAGTCTTACTCCAGTGAAACTTGTGGATCCTTTTGTGGACCTGGAGCAACCTCGTCCAGCCACCACGGTAAATGGTATTTGTATGGTATTACATTGCTTTACAAAAGTTGACAGGCGGTCTCTACAAACTTTGCCAGGTATCATTATGTGGTCTCAAGATTCCATAGTCTTCGCTTGATGGCTCGACACGTCGGCGGCAAGTAGCAAAAGTGCATCCCTCCCCCGTCGCCGAACTGTGCCGAATAATGATCTACTAATATTTTATAGAAAACCTGTCAAATTCAACGTCCTTTTCAACACTTCCGTGAATCCCTGAATGGCTTTAACATCATCAGTATCCGTATATTCAGGGTATATCATGAAGTCCTGCAAGATCCAAGGATGACAATGCAAGACTGGACTGACGATATATACGTACGGCTTTTTCCACTAGTGTAATACATGAGAAAAGATAAGCAGAACAATAGAGAAGGACAATCATACCTTTTCAAACTTGTTCATTACGAGCCCTCTTGAAAGTGACATTTTCTCTATGGGAACGTCCGATGCAGCGACTTCTTTGATTTGAAACTTAGCACTGGGAACCATGGCTCCATCCCTGTTAGAAAGTCGAGACGAACATTTTGAAATGGACCTCCTTGCTATCCATTTCAGGAGGACCGGCCTCATCTGCAAACAAAATCAGTCGACAGAAAGGAAACAACGGCGTTGAGTGAATTCAGGAACTATTGCTCAGTTATTCAGTTAGGTTGCTTTCATATGCGCGAGTTGGGAGAACGCGTCTCCCAATTCGCGCATTCTCCGAAGTTGCGAATTTTCCATATCACTACGAATCCTTTCATTTACGCAAGTTCTCTCTCTCTCAAGTCGTCTCTCTCTCCTCTCTCTCAGGTCGTGCATTCGCCCTATAAAGCCGCATAAATACTGAAGAATCGGAGAATCCACGCGATAGGATTAATATATGACGATGCGACGATTTAGAGAACCGGAGAACAGGAAAATTCGGTAAACGACGAATCGAAGAAGGAGCAATAACGCATCCTCCGCATTCGCGGAGTACGGCACCTTCAGATCTCAGGATTCCGTTACCGTAACCGACTTTTTGTGGCTATGCGGCGTTGATGAGATACGTACATATCGATCTGAAGAAATCGACGACTAGGCACAGCAGATTCGATATGTGCCGATCCAACGTCGGAAACATCTACTACGTTGGTACGGCGACGTGATTGTAAGGTTGCGTTCATACTTTGCGACTGAGGAGATTCGACGATCTGGGAGCTTCGCCAATTCCAGAGACCGCGCAATGAGGAAAGTACAGGTAGTGATCTGGCGACTGCAGAGATTAAGCGATCCGGCAATTTGGGAGACGAGGCGCTTCCGGCGATTGCGGGCCAAAGGATGGGTAGAGATTGGCGCCGGTCGCTAGCGATTGCAGCGATCCAGCGATTCGAGAGACTCGGCGAGCCGAAGTTTGAGAGTCGCTCGAGTCCCCGGGTCGCTAAGTCTTCGCGATCGCTACCGACCGACGCCAATCGCTACCAACCTTTAGCACGTAATTTCTCAAATCGCCGAGTCTGAGATGTCGCCTAAGGCTTTGTTCACTGTCTACGACCCTGACGAAACGACGGTTGGGCGAAAAGCAAAGAATACGGATTGATCGGAGAATCGCCAACCGCTGCGGTTCGGCGGTTGGGCGAAAAGCAGATGCATCGATTTCGCTGGCGAAAAACGCCAGGCGGTCGAGCTAGCGTTTCGCGAAGGCGAAAAACGCCGCGGTTTGGCGAAACGCCCGTCGATTCGTATCAAAACCCTTTCGCCCAACCGCCAGACTCTTCGCCCAACCGCCAATCGATACGTATCGAAAGCTTTTCGCCGGAGCGTTTCTTTCTAGAGAAACACTGGGCCGCAGACTGTGAACAAAGCCTAATCTCCCAAATCGCTGAATCTCTTCAGGTCGCAAAGTATGAACGCTTCCTTGGATACGACCGGAACAACCAGCGAAGCGAGCAGAGGAGACTGGCTAAGGAGTACTCTCCACTTTTTCGTTTAGGTGGAGAATTCAATACGTATTTAGCTCTTTTCGCGTTCGCATCAAATTTGCCAAATTTTCGTTAGGCGCTTTACGATTCTCCCAGTCGATACGTATTCATTTCCTTTCGCTGGCTCTCCGAATCATCAGGGTCGTAGACTGAGATCAATGCCATAGGCGCATCCACAGGTAGCAAAACATGAATTAAAATTCTGAGGAATGGCCGCCAATCACTCTATTTTGATCGCGTACTCCTGCTTCGAGAAAACCTCTTTGCGACCCATTGCAAACGAAATTTCCAACTAAAATTAGTTACACGAGGAAATGCTTCATATTAAACCACACGCTACGTAATAGCGTTTGTTTACACCGAAAAAGGAGAATAAATCGCTGAAAGTGGAAAATCAGCTTCTTTTTCCGTCGGGTTCCGCGCGGTCCGTAATGAGACGACGAGATTTTGCGGACAATTTTAGTGCGCGCGCGGCTTGTTGCTGCAGCATCGGCGGTTCGTGATCGCTCCTGTGCTCGGCCCGGAACTGGAATCGTACATCGTCGGCCCGCTACAAGCATTACTATGTCCATCGTGATTGTTCGTGCCTTTTCATTGTCTTTGAGAGGGGGGGGGGTATACGTGTCATCACATCATCTTTGTCCAGTTCTTCTCGCGGAACCGTTCTTATTTTTCTTCGGCAGGAAGCAATGGTGACTATTCCTTATGCAGAGAGAACAGCTACAACACAGTCACACAGCTCTTTATCAACTTTCCTATGCATATTTCCTTCGCTTCATAAGTGTACAAACAGATCAGCGTATTCCATTTGCGACTGGTTTTTGTGCATTTTTTTCATTTTAGCTCTTTGTCTCACGCCTGTTCAGGCGTCACTTTCAGTAAATTATCTAATTTTCTGTCGGGAAGCAGTGGTGCTGCGTCATTCATTGCCGAAAAGAACCTTGGCTGTATATCTTGTCTTTGTCGCGTCACCATTTGATGAATGCACTTTGTCTCATAATGTGTAAATGTGAATTCAAGCAGTGTTTTATATCACAATAACTTATAAGCGGTTGAAGCTGTGCATTCCGTACTTTGCCAAGAATACCAAATGAATTAGTAATTTGCAATATTAACGCTCTGCGTAAATTCGCGTGTGACATTTACTTTTAGATATCCAGACGTCAGTGCTCTTGAATCCGCTGCACAACTTGATACGCTTTAAGTCATGTTATGAGTAAGATTTTTACGTCTTTTGATGAGGATGTTGTAACGGTATCGGTAATCGAGCGCATTTGCTCATTCAAAGTTGCTCATGCGCTAAGTTTTTTTCCCAGTAAACATTTTTTCCTCTTGAGTATATTTTTACTGCATCAGATGAAACAATGTATTAACGGCTGCTTCATAATTGCCCGAAACTGTGGGTGACGACTTAGCGGAAAATGATTGGAGACGGCTATCTTTCCCACAAATCGATCTGCAACTTGTGAATTCTTCAGACCAAGTATTACTAAATCTCTTGCGTCCAGTTCTTTCAACTGTCGTTTGTTGGTACGAACGCGCCCTGTGAGCTCCAACTGGCGGCGAGTGTTACACTAAAATACTTAAAGCGGCGTCCACGAATCAGCAAGTGAGAATAGGCCTTGGTGCACAAGTGGTGGCCGCGTTTGTGGTCACAGAGGAATATACCCTCCTCGCGATCTCCTCAAGCGCTTGAATAAAATGCACACAATGCAGCAGTCTATAAGGCGACTACGCTGTTCATGAGCTAAGTCCATCTGGATCATTTTTGTTATCAATGCGTTAGTCATGTGATCATTGCTAATTGAGAATATGCCGCGGAGAATGAGTCTGCAAGCAGCACGCGGCTAATTCGATGAATTCGCCAAAGTTGTTCACCCGCCCTTTGACCCCCGCACATAAGTCCTCATTTCAAGCTTCCGACGTTTTTTTGCTTTTTCTTTTGCAGGTTGTTTCACGCACGTGACCGTTAAATAATTCTGAGTCCCAGCAACCCGCGAACCCGCGATCGGGGCGCTGTCTTTTCTGCGTATCTGCAGTCCTTGTTTTTGGGGGGGGAAAAAAAATTCGGTAACGTTGTTGTAAGCGATCATTATCGTTGACGATGAAAAACCGCCTTACGTGTTCGGACATGCCAATTTGATTCCAATCTTATCGTGTGTACCAGGTTGTGTTAGAACATGTAGGATCGTCGTGAACGTTTAGAGTGACCGCGCTTCTCTATGCGACGTAACCATTGTTACGAACTGTCGATAGCACCAGTTAATTCTTCATAATAAGGGCTAAACTCGTGACTTAAGCTGCTAGAGTATACTAGTATTGTTTTGGTAAGCAATAGAGCATCAATGATAAACATAAACAAAATATGTCAAACCACATTTAACAATCGGCGGAGCTGCGGCGAGTAGCAGGGCATTCGGCGCTGATACTTCCCACTCGGACGAGTGCGAGCCACTAGAGAGCTGTTTTTCATTATAACGAGTAAACAGATTTTTAACGAATGTAGCTCGAAAAGCTTGCCTCTCAGATTCACGAAGATTCCCACTAGTTTACCAAAGCGAGACTTGTAAACCGGAATTAGTGGAAGCAGCGAAAGCGCAGAATGCCCCCACGCTGCCAACTGCCCCTAAGTACATCCACGGTTCTGTTTTGTGAATCAGGGAACAGTCACAATTTTGGTGTATTAATTCCATTCAGGTCATGAATAGTAACTTCCATTTCAGTAGTTCCCTCTAGCCATTTAGTACTGGTTTGGGGGGCTCGCAACAGCCCCCGGCGCGGTGCATATACTTCGATTGAACCGGAGTTGCTTTGGGGCTTTTTATCAGGTTCAGACCACTTCTTTAATTAACGGCGGTTTCTTTTTAAGCATCTCGATCAATTGTGGCTAGTTTTATACCTTATATTTATATAGTTTTTAGCAGTTAAATGTGCTCATGTACTACTGATAGGTTAGTTTCGGCAAAATCGCTTGCCAGTCGCGCGCGATTAAGGGGTGAAATAGCAGATCTCTCCCGTTAACGGTAACCCTCCTGCCTTCGGAGCCAGTGAACTGGGAGCCAATCTTGTATGGAAAGATTAAAGCACTAGCTTTCGAACGTACTGTCCATGCAAATAACTGCGAGGACCACATCTTATTCAATAAACTACTGCGATTCCTAGTGGGATAGAAGGCAAGGCCGCTTTTTAATCGTGACGCGTGACGAGAGTTTTGGTGAAATCGCCGACGTTCTAGCGACCGTTCTAGTGTTCTGAGCAAATTCTAGGGTTTTGAGCGCTTCGCAGTTAACTATATGAGTACAAGTGAATTATGTTTACCTTTTGCCTGTTCAACCACTTTATTTTTAGCTGATCGCATTGAAGTACGATATCTTGCTTCTGTTGTACTAGATCTTCACTTCTTTGTCGCAGAGGGCACGATAACATACGTTTTCTGGAAACGGCTGCTGCGTATGTGTATCCGGCACATTCTAATAGAGCATTCCTTCACGGTTCATCAAGTAGCACAGCAGGACCTTCCTCTTGTAGAACTGCTTTAGGTGGCTTTTGTGCAGAATCGTTTGGTGATCCCGCTCCCAGATCCTAAACACAGTGAGTGATGTGAATAAAAACAACTGTAACATGATTAGCAAAGTATTTCTATCTTTGTGGAAATTCCGAACTTACTGAAAAAGCACGAGACAGTATATTACGAAAAATTTGCTTTCAAGTTGGCATCAATGATAAATCGAAAGTCATGAGACAGTGTAATAGAGTGCCGTGTTCGGTCTTCTTGGAACCAGACCACTTTTTCCATAGAATGTGTCTTCGTACTGCTTGGCTGTGCAGGTTTATTATGACACCGCGTTGATTAGATCGACGTTTCAAGTGAATCGTTGTGTTGTAGACTCTTTTCTGAGATCCAGCGCTTGGAGTTTTTTTTTGTTGAGGCTAATAATTGTGACAGTTGGTGAGTCTTGCTGTATCTTCCCTTATCCGATTTATAGCGCAAGTTTCTCCTTTCTGTTCTCAGGGCTTCGGCAACTAGTGCATCTTCTGCGATTCTCTCTTTGACGTCCGTCAGCTTTTTCCAGTTTGTGGGTTATTCTCGAGGGAGAACTTGACAGAGAGCATCTTGAAATAACCCACAGAACTCACCATAAGTTTCTTTTCTGGGCTCTTTACAAGCTGTCTGGATGCAAACAGTGGACTTTTTTTGTCATTGGCATTAGAATTTCAAGGATCTGCTGCGTTTCTGTGTCCTTCTGTGTCCTTCAGCTTCTGATAGGCATTCATGATAAAAGCTGAGGGAATCTATTGGCAGTTGACGTCGAACTCGCTAGAATATCTCCAACGCGAGGTGGAACATCATTACAGCATGCATTAAATTATATAGGTCCCATATTTTAATTTATCATGAGCCAACTTAAATGCAACTTTTTCATGCCCTGCTTTTGTGGCTGGCTTGTGTTGTTCGGACTGTGGTTGGGATCACGGTCTTTTATTGCTGCCGTGGTTTCTGTCGTTCCCGGCATCATCGTTTCCAAACTGGAATTCAGCAACTAAGCAACATTTCATTTTTCAGAACTCCCA